GATAAAAATATTATTAATATAACTCTTAAATATATAAGAATTGTATTAAAACCTTAAATTGGTTGAATATCTGTTGCACGAGACTCTTTGGAAAGTCACTCCAAGTCGGATAGGGTGCCAAATACAATGCACCAAGAATATTAGTGATTATCTTTGTAACCCGAGTATTAGGAATGAACCTGCAACATAGAAATTACATTAAATAAACAAGAGTAGATATTACAATTCAGCAATAATAAAGAAGTAATAAATAAATTTTACCCATTGCCCTTAGGCCTGATGATGATCCATCATAACGCACATCATCTGGATCATCACCCTCCGATGAATCTGAAGCGTGCGCAGAAGGGGAGGGCATCTGGCTCAGTGCTACTATCCCGAAGACGAAGTCTAGAAATGCTAGGAGACGAACTCCGTGGAGAGGAAAATGAGGTCTTTGATGAATATGGCTGCGATCCACACCCCTACATTGATCTAGACCCATGCTGCGATCTAGACCATTGTTGCGATCCGACCGACTAAAATCTAGATGGATGAAATCTAGCTAGAGATGAAGCAAATGGAGAAGATGACGGGCGTACCACATGGCTCTATGACTGGTGACTGGATGCACCCATGTAACTATTGGGTGGATCATGAGAAGGAAGAAGGGTATAGCCCTGTGGTGGAGAATGGTGATAATAATGCTGGGTGGGCAAATGGTGGATAGTATGATGAGTAGATGGATGTGGTGGAATAGATCTGTGCCTAGAAGATTGCTGTCGGCCATCAGCAGCAGAGGGATGCAAGTGTGGAGTGGAAGGAAACGAGGGTGTAGCACCATCATCATGATCAATAGGCCTTTTATCCTTCCTAGACCTACCTCGACCCCTACCGGTCATTTGCATAAATTAAATAAAATGTTAGAATTGAGAATATAAATCTATATAAGTTGAGGGCGCTTGAAAAAACTAACATGCTAGTCGTCTTTGTCGACGTATCCTTCCTCGTCTGAAAATACTTCCTCTTCACTTATTTCATTTTTATTAGGTGATTCTTCATCCTCATTTTCTATAAATGTTATTTACTCCATATCAACTTCCTATTAATATGCGTTGAGGATGCTCCAAGTAATTTTCTAACTGATCATTCACCATTTGGTTAACACTTGAGGTATCGTTTTGGTAAGCAACATCTAGCACATTCTCAACTTCCACCCTACCAACAGGCTTTGTTTTGATTACAACCAACCAATCAGCCTTATCCCTCCGCAATGGATATGGAGCATAGTACACTTGCCTAATTCTTTCTACAATTATAAAAGGATCATACTCCCTCTTTTTATTAACCTCAATTATGTTGTATTGCGAGTGTACATTTGTACCTCTTCTAGATGTTGGGTCAAACCACATGCATCGGAAAAGTATGATCTTCTTATTTGGCCTACCTGAATATGACAATTCTAGAATCTCTTTGATCATACCATAATAATCATTTTTCCCATCCTAGTTGTCTTCACCACCTTTGACACACACCCCACTATTATTGATTTTTTTATACTTCGAGTATTCCTCGATGTGAAATTTGTAACCATTCACATAATACTTAGACATAGTCGTAACTGTAGGTGCAGGTCCCCAAGATATGTCTTTCAAAAATTGATTAACATCGTTGTTTGGATTGTTGACCTACATATAGGGGTAAATAAATCACAAGTGAGCAAGTATATTTATAAGTATGTATATTCACATGTGAGAAAGTATGTAAGATGCACTTACACACTCTTTAAACCATGCCTCAAATGTAGAATATACAACACCATGATCAAATTGACTCATGAAGTCACTAAGCGACATATTGAAAATTATTTGTTAATTGTATCAACCAAATTAAATAGCAGACCATGTAAATTAATCTTACGTCAACACTTACTTTAGAAATGGTTAAACTTCCGGACAATTTAGCAACACATGATTTGAAGCTGATTTGTACTCCATACTACTTAGGCCCCTTTTTGTTCAATCTTTAGAGCCTCGGCCTGGTTGATTGAATATGGACATTGGTGGATATAATGTATCAATCTCAATCACCACATTGTGCCAATTGGGCCTATTTCTAGCACATGTCACATGACACATGACTGGCAAAGTAGTAAGAACAAAAATGGGCAGTTTCCTTTGCAAGATAGGTTTCGCATATGGATCCTTCAATCCTATTCCACTTTTTAACAAATCGTTTACACTTGCCGATAGTCTTGCACATTGTCATACTAGACAATAACATTAAAGAAAATTACAAGAATAAATCAAGGTTTGATCATTACCTCTCGAATGGATACATCCACCTGCATTGAACCGGGCCTCCAAGTCGCGCCTCGTGTACAAGGTGAATTGGAAGGTGTTCCATTACATCAAAGAAACTACATGGAAAAAGTCCTTTCCAGCTTATTACTGATCACAGGAATGTTCTAATTCATTTGAAATAGATTTTCTTTCCTTAATGTGGTAGAACATTAATCTTTGAAGAACAAACTTATCTTTGTGATGAGTTTTCATATATTTTCAAGCAATCCACAAAATGCAATAGGGATTAAGGTTTCCATGAATATATGACAGTCATGACTTTTCATATGAGTCAGCTTTCCCTCAACCATATCAACACGTTTTCCCAGGTTCGATGCATAGCCCTCGGGCATTTTTAGGTTTGTAACCCACTCACAAATCTGTCGTCTTTGTTCCAAAGTGAATGTGTAGCTGGCCTTGGGCTGGAACACCTTACCATTGTTCCCAGATTGCAAATGTAATTCAGGTCGCCTACAATATTCTTGTAAGTCCAGTCTAGCCTTCAGATTATATTTTGTCTTATTCTTATCATCTATCATTGTGTTGAATAAATTATCAAAATAGTTCTTCTCAATATGCATGACATCAAAATTATGCCGGAGAAGATTATCCTTCCAATATGGCAACTCCCAAAATATGTTCTGTTTTGTCCAGTTATGGGTAACACCAATCCAAGAAATCTAGAAGGTGGGGCCTCAGTAACTTTAGTGAAGTTCTGAACCTTCTCCCAAATTTCCTCACCGGAATAAATTGGAGGTGGAAAATCATGTTCAATTGTATTCTTTTTGAATGCGTTCTTCATCATTCTGAACTCATGATCAACTGGCAAAAACTGACGATGACAATCAAACCATGACTGCTTTCGGCCATGTCTTAAAGTGAACACTTTACCATTTTTCATGCAGTAAGGACATGCTAACGTTCTGGCAGTCATCCGCCCAGACAACATTCCATACGTAGGAAAATTATTAGTGGTCCACATTAAGTTAGCACGCAAGTTAAAATTTTGCTTAGTTGATATATCATATGTCTCGACTCTATCATACCACAACTGTTTAAGCTCATCAATCAGAGGTTGCAAATATACATCAATCAAACTCTTTGGATTTCGGGGACCGGAAATAACACAATTTATAAAAAAATATATGGACTAGTCATACACATTTCAGGCAGAAGATTATACAGCGTAATAAAGACCGGCCAGCATGAATATGGTGTTGCAGAAACAGAAAATGGCGTGAAACCATCAGCACACAAACCCAACCGAACATTCCTTGGTTCACTAGCATAATCCGGATACGTCCTATCAAAATGCTTCCAAGCTTCCCCATCTGAAGGATGACATATAACACCGGGCGGCCTTCTATTTTCATAGTACCATCTCATATGATGAGCGGAACTCATCGATGCGTACAACCTCTTTAATCTAGGAATAAGGGGTAAGTAATGCATCAACTTCACCGCAGCCTTTCCCGCTGGAAAGCCGCTTAAAACGAGATTTTTCACAAAATTTACAACTTTCTAAATCTACATCACCCTTATAATACAATATGCAAGATGCAACCATCTTCACAACAATCGATTCTCATAGATGAGAATCCTAACTTAGAAATCAATCTTTTAGCCTTATAGAAATCTTCAGGTATGTTGAAAGCTGGGTCAACTAGTTCACTCATAAGGCCAATGAAAGAATCCATTCCTGCTTGAGAAATATTGGTATCTGATTTGATACTTAATAATCTAACCGCAACAGACAACTGAGAGTGCATACTCCCTTGTCTTAGTGGATGACTAGCGGCCTCTAACTGTTCATAAAAATATTTTGCCTCTTCGTTAGGAGGTTGTTCAATACTTTCATGGGTTTCAAAATCGAAGTGCATCCCTAAAGCATCCGCAACCATTTCATGGTATCTAGGATATTGAACGCTATTCTCCACCAACCTACTACTTTGACCAACAACTACGTTATGAAATACAACATCACTACCATCAATCTCTCCATGACTAGTCCACACAAAATAATTATCCGTAAACTCTTTTTTATAAAGATGAGCTTTAACATCCTCCGATCCAAAAAAAATGCGAACACTTGCACTTCGCAAAAGGACACCTAATCAACCCTCCAATTCGAAACGGTTCAAGTGACATTGCATGCGTAATAAATTCCTTAACCCCTTCTATAAATTCCTCCCTAAAAACCGACGATTAGGATAATTCCTATTATACATCCAACTATGATATTCCATTTACATAAAGAACGAATAAATTATATTAATCAAAGTTCAAATTAATTTATAGAATTAAGTTACATAATAAATTATAATTTGTTAGCACACTCAATTAATCAGGATTTTGTGCAATATTAAGCCATATGTTTCGACATGATATATATGTAAATCTTGGTGATACACTACTAAAACTATATGGAATAATAAATAAAAGTTGCATAGGAATGTTTGGTAGTGGAGAACTAATAAATTAATAATACTACTACTACAATTTAAAACCTCCATCATCCATATGACATGAAGCTGACACTAAAAAACAGTCCAAAATTAGGGTCAGCTTCCACTATTAGTGCCAAGAGACCATCAAGAAGGGTACATTTAAAAATAATTAAGCCCAAATCTTCTTCATTAAGTACCACTTTTTCAAAACCATCCCCACTTTTATACAATAAATTAAAGTAATATACATAACCACCAATTTTTCCAACATGGAGCATGAAAAGTGCATAGGTCTAACTTGCAGGCATAAAACAGTGTGTCATGTCTCATTTCATAGATCAATCAATAAAAACAGAGGATTTTTAACTTTAAGGGCAGAGGTAGTATATACCCAAAAAGAAAACTTATCAGAGATGGAGAGGAGTCTGAGTGCCAACGATGGCCGCTTGGATTACCAACGACTGGAACACGGTTCAAAATGCACAGAGACAAAAAGGAGTTCTAATCCTGTAAAATTTCAAATCTCTCTCGTACTTCCTCTATGTTTGTGAACTCATTTCCTTTTTTGTCTGTTCCAAAAATAATGAATTCTTTCTAAATTTGGTAACAATTTAGCTTAAAATTACAACTTTATCCTTAATGAGAAGCTTTTATAACCACACAAATACTCTGGGCTCCATTTAGACTTGTCTAGGACAACAAATTACAAACTCTTCATTTTTTTCTTAAACTTGTGCACATAAATTGAAACGGAGGCAGTATCAGATATCTAACAGCGGTTTTTATCCCAGATGATCTCCTGAAACTGATAAAAAAAAAATTCCATCTCAAGCATCAAATCAGATAGTTGCTTTAATCATTTTGTTTCTAGCTAGAGATGTTTGCACCAATCAAGGGGATCATATCACCCTAATAGAGTTGCTATTTACATGACCAGAAAGAGAAATCAGAAATACTTGATTACGCATGTTTTCCCTAAGGTCAGTAGAATATATATATATATATATATATGTAGGATGCTAGTTCAAACTTAGAGTGATATTTATGGAATCTAAATATTCAATTTCATGTGTGTGAATTTGTGTAAATTGAAATGTTGGGTAAATGATGAATACCGATTTGCTTAGTGGATAGCCGTTCGCTAAGTATTGATTTTTTTTTCTTTTTTGCGGAAATTGCCTATATATTGTTCCTGAAGATGGAGGAATAACACAAACAAGAAGGTGACTCTTTCTCTTTATATGGTTATTTGGTTTGTCAAGGAGCATGATATATGCCAAAGTTTGATTATTCATCTAAGTTGCTACTGCTAAACTATAGAAGTGGTGACATGTACTTGCAACCTTTTAAATTTTTTTTAGACAATAAACAAAGTTCTTTTATTAATTAATCACTAGTAACTGAGTAATCCAGAAACAATCCTGTTGCGTAAACCTTAACATCATTCAATTGAAAGCATAATGTATATATCTAAAAAATTATAGAACTTCACAAAGTAGGGGGAAAAAGATTGAAAGAATACAAGGTCCAAAGATTCCTCTTTAACTCTAACAAGACATGGTCAGCAAAAATAATTCAAATGGATTCCGATTGTGTTTTCCCCAACCCAACTACAAACTAACATGAATAAAAACTTTATTTTCTGAATTGCCATGAAATTATGCATCTCAACTCAGTCAAATTATTCCCTATAGATTTCACCTATTCCTTTTTTTTTTTTGTGCGAAACATAATATTGCATTAAACATAAATAAAATTACTAGAGAGAGGGTGATGCCTGTGCATCGATAATATAGTTGTTTTCTAGTTGTCTATTACAAGGATTAATACTATCTATTCTAATGTTGTTATCCACCACATTGTCTCCATTGGAAGCAGTCATTCGTTGATCATTGTCATAGATTACAAAAGTGTTATGATTCATGTCCTCCTCTTGTTCCTGATGTGTGCATGTTGTCTTCCTAAAGCGAGTTGCTCCTTCCTGATCCCTTTGCAAAAAGGTGCTCACAAAAATCCGGTGGCTCTTCAAAAATAGATGGTCTTTCATTAGAGGCCATGTTGCATCCCGCCTTTGCTAAACCATCAGCCACCTCATTCCCCTCTCTATAGGTATGTGCAATGGTAACACTATGCAGTTGGTCCAAGAGGTACCTGCAATCAGTGAGTATATTAGTATAAATGATGTTGTCCTTTTTTAACATTGTAAGTACCTCTGATGCATCGATGTTTATTTCCAGCGGGACCAAATTGTATCTGTTTGTCAATTTCAGTCCATGGAATAGGGCCTTTAGTTCTGCCTGGATGATGGTGGCATTGTCCAAATTGCCTGCAAAACCTATAATCTAATTTCCATTTGAATCGCGTATGGTTCCTCTTATACCTGCTTTCTGAGTTAACGTTGATATAGCTCCATCCGTATTTAATTTGTAGTAGTTTGGTTTAGGGGGTATCCATTTGATAGGTTGCATTATAGGGATTTTGGTTGTTGCTACCTTTGCAGCTAAATAGGTAAATTTCAGTGCATGGTTAGTAATTTTTTTTAAGTGATATGTGTTGTTGTGTATTATTAAAATTGTGATTGTTATGATTAATCCAAATATCCCATAATGTGTACGAAATAAAAGTTTTGCTATTTATACGGTAAGGCATGTTGTTGTACTTTGTAATAATGAGTTTCATTAACCAACCTGATGGATGAGAGTATGTAGTTATATTGTTGATAAAGTTTGGTATACCAAGTCATTCCATATATGTTTTATGTTAGAACATTCTAAAAATATATGATTAATAGTTTCCAGATCTATATTACATATTTGACATCGGTCATCTACTGTGATTCCTATATGATTTAGGTATTTTTTTGTTGGCAACCTGTTATGCATTACAAGCCAAAGGAATATTTTTATTTTGGGTGGTATTTGAATCTTCCAAATCCAATTATAAGTGGATGTGTGTTGTTGTAATTTTAAATCCTGCTGTAGTAATTGTGAATACATTGATTGGACAGTAAATTTACCATTGTTGGATAGTCCCCAAGAGATAGTATCCGCTTTGTTTGTGTAGATAGGTACATTAATCCTGTTGAATTCATTTTTAAAAGAGTTTGTAATGTGAAAAGGTATTTCTGCCCATTTCCAATTATTATGATCTCTGTAAGTGTTGATAGTCCTTGTAGTATGTTCTAAAGGTATAGGACCATGTAATAAAGATCTAACTGTGGTGTTCGAAGCATTCCATGGCTCCGTCCAGAAGTTTATTTTTGAATTCGTACCTACCTGCCATTGAATGCTACTTTGGCATTTTTCCCAACCTAACATAATATTTTTCCAAATATAAGATGAATTTTGTATTATACGTTTGTTTTTATATTTATAAATAAGAGTGTTTGCCCATAGTTGATTAGGTGAATGAAATAAGTGGCATGCTAATCCTGCCAGTATTCCATTTTTATTTCAGAGATTCAACTCAAGGAAGTTACATACTAAATAATACTCCTATCAATGAGAACAAAAAAGAAAAGGAGAAAAGTGAGCATATTGTTCGATTCTACCACTGATAAACTAAGCTAAAACTAGTAGTTAATAGGTGTTGAACTAATGCCATTCAAAACCCAAAATAGCTAAAACTGGAGAGCATATAACGGAAAGAGCAAAACCATGAATGTTGGTCTCAAATAACAATAGGATTGAACAACCAAAAGAACAATCCGATCGAATTATTTGAAAATTTTGAAATATGACAAAATTTGAAAGAACAATCCGACTGGAAACTTGAAATTTTTTTAATAAATAATTATTTTTATACATTATATACAAGTATGACCAAATAGTTTACCAATTTCCGATCGAATTCGGTCGAAAATTTGGTAAATTTTTAATAAATAATTATTTTTGTACATTATATACAAGTATGACCAAATATTTGATCAATTTCTGACCGAATTCGGTCGAAAATTTGGTAAATTTTTAATAAATAATTATTTTTGTACATTATATACAAGTATGACCAAATATTTGATCAATTTCTGACCGAATTCGGTCGAAAATTTGGTAAATTTTTAATAAATAATTATTTTTGTACATAATATACAAGTATGACCAAATATTTGACCAATTTCTAACCGAAATCGGTCGGAAATTTTATTTTTATGCTATCAGGCACTTTTTTTTTGACTTATTGCGACCAAATACTCTTATTTCCGACCGATTTCGATCGAAAAGCCTTGGACGAAAATCACCTGAGTTCTAGTAGTGATTGAGAGGAGAATGTGTTGTGTAGAACTCCAGCATCTACATCTTTATTGATCACTGAAAGGATATAATAACCCATGATGATTGAATCACATGGTAATGTAATAGGCCATTACTTGGCAGCCCAACTCTTCTTCAGACATGCTTAAAAGTTGCCTAATGACCTCATTTTCAAGATACGCCAAAGGAATGACATCTTTATTGATCACTGAAAGGATATAATAACCCATGATGATTGAATCACATGGTAATGTAATAGGCCATTACTTGGCAGCCCAACTCTTCTTCAGACATGCTTAAAAGTTGCCTAATGACCTCATTTTCAAGATACGCCAAAGGAATGACATCTTTATTGATCACTGAAAGGATATAATAACCCATGATGATTGAATCACATGGTAATGTAATAGGCCATTACTTGGCAGCCCAACTCTTCTTCAGACATGCTTAAAAGTTGCCTAATGACCTCATTTTCAAGATACGCCAAAGGAATGACAAATGTAATATTGATTACTCAGTGATATATTATGTTTAACTGGTAAAAAAAAAACTCATGTTAAGTTGCCTGCCACGACCCTCTTCAGATAAATAGGAGTTCTTTAATAATTAGTTGCAAGATCTGGGATTGCTTTCTGTAACGTCCTTGCAGTTAATCAATTTGTAATTTTTTTTTGGTCAAGTAGTAGGAAGATATTCAGTGCAAATTATTTCATCATTATATGCTAATGTCGAGAGTAATATTTAAATACAGAAGTAAGTCCTGAAGAATTTCACAGGCGTTTGTTCAATTGAACTTTATCACAATCAGCAACAGATTAGCTATCACCATTAATCTCTTTTCTCCTGTTTATGTGTGGGAATACCACTACATGTCTCCAACAAAAAGATATGTCACTGGCTGATACTATAACACGATTAGTCAAAGTTCATTCATGATTTTGTTTATCTTTCAGGCACAGATGTTCTCGAGTCCAGTTAGCTGCTGCTTCCAAATGTTTTTTCCGTAAACAAATGAATTTTATTACTTCATAACATGTCTGAAATGTTCAAAAGACTATACTGCATCAGTTACAACCCAACTTGAAAAAACAGAATCCCAAGAAACCACACGTAAAAGTGAAATAGATGATTTAGCTAGATTACGAGCTAGCACATTCTAAGTTCTAGGAATATATATAATGTTGATACCTTCGAAAGATCTCATCAACTTCCAAATATCCTCACAAGTGGTATTTATTTCCCAAGATACTGTCATCTTCTTATGCAACATTTGTATCTGTCACGATCCAAAATCCAATAATGTTAATAAGTCAATTAAACATAAATAAATTATTTGGATCTATTATATTTTCCAAGGACTGGTAGTATAAATCATGAGCTTCTAAAATTAGAGTTTACAAAGCTGATATGAAGAAAACACATTCTGCTTAAAAAGTACATAAACAGAATTTTATAGCCTAAGGCTACCGTGAACAAAAGGCAACTACAGCAGGAACGTAGGTACGCCTTCAAATCCAGCAACCATTGAACATAGCAACATCGACATCCGGGATTTGCACGGGCTGTGTAGGAAATGTAATATGAGTACAACCGATCTCATATACTCAAAAAGTAACAAACCTAACCTCAGGTTAAAAACAGTGATGAGCTGAAACATAGGTCGGGTCCAACACCAATATCGAATAACAGTTCATAACAATGTAAAGCATATAAATAAAGAAGTAACTCAGGGATAAAGTATTTAGCACATATGGATGATTAAATGTCCTTTTGGGCCATAAGCCCATTTTGACATAATTTGGATAGGCCTCCTAAAATGGGACACGGTGCCTGAGACCGAACTCTGCTAGGTTTAAATGATATGATGCACATAAGCATGACCTAAAGGCTGACCTATGTTTGTGGTTCACTAGACAAGGCAATTCGGGGCGGCATGTGGTCGATGGCGGCTGCTCTAGCTGTCCGCCCATTCCACGCTTCCACGCCAACCCCCTTAAAAACACGGGTGACTCACAAAAAGGTCATGTGAGCTCAAACATACTCCGAAAGACTTGTTGCAGAAAGAATTGACCGGGTAATGCATATGATGACAGTTATAAAGCGGTAAACACATAAGGAAAAACGATAAACAAATAACTAACAAAACAGGAAATAAGACAAACAAACCAAATAAACAAAGCAAATAAAAACAAACAAACACCTCAACCGAATATCCTAAAAGCCAACGAGATCAAATATCCGCTCGAACCTACAACTCCCCCGCGCAGAGTCGCCAGAGCTGTCACACCCCTTTTTTCAACTCACTTAACCCATTAAAATATATAAAGAGATTTGTAAAGCTCAAAAGAGTTTTTAATTAAAAAGTGACAAAATTGTGTTCAAAAGGAAATAACTCAGAATCACCACCTGACATTGGTTTCGGTGTGCAAGGTCACCGTTTTTAAAAATAATTTTCCTTTTAAAACACTTTGGACTTCAAACTAAGTCTGCACCAGAAATTCAGGCAAGGGGGTTCAATTGACTCGGGGAGAAGGTGTTAGGCATTCCCCGAGTCCCGTAACTAGTACGTTTGCATACATGATCTAGTTGGCTTTTAAAATATTCGAATTAAGGTAAAAATACACAAAAGAAGACGAACACAAAAAGTTTCAAGGTTTTCCCTGCCTAAATAAAAAGAAAAATAGAAATAAAAATAAGAATAAAAACAAAATACTACACCATGCTTCCTTCACAAATTCGTCACGGCCTCCAGAATATTTACAAAGTATTTCGGAGCATTCCCCGGATAATATAATCAACTAAAGGGACAACCTCTCGCCTCAACAAAACTAAAACATAAACGCCCTAAAGATTTGGCTACCCAAATGTGGTCAGCCTAAAACATGCTCCTAACACTCGAAACAATAGGATAATAAAATAAGATAAAAGAAAGCTAAGTGAGAATGAATTAACAGCATGCTGATTTTTCCTGTAAAATTTCTTAGTTTACCTCATTACCACACGACCCCATAAATCAATCGTCCAAAATAACTTACTCCAATTATCTACACACACAAAGATAGTACTCAACATATAAAACACATAGAAGAGGAGGGAAAGATAACAATTTGACAAAACAAAAAAAACAAATAAGTCAAGAAACGGTAGATCAAGGCATGACAAGAGCCATCTAAAGCTTATTGACATCACCCAATTAATCTTATTCTTAAACCATGGTTCGGAATCTTAGACAAGGCAAATCAGATACCACGTTAATCTTATCCAGATGATTTCGACTCAAATATTTTAAATCCAAATAGGGAAATAGCAAAGAATTGAAACCAAATGAAAACTGTACTGCCAAGCATACGAAATCATCTAACCCAATTAATGTTCAAGATTTTTGCACTTACACGTACTTCAAAAATGGACAAGAATCCAAAACAATTTTCCTATTAAACTTAATCGAGGCACGATACTAACTACAAGCTGATTTCAAAATTTAAAGCAATATCACTGGATGAACTTCATATCTCCAAATTTGATTCAATATCCTAATCTGCTTGACAGTGAATCTATCCAAAAGAGTTCAACAACTTACGCACAAACAGTGAACCATAGTGAACATAAGATAGCTTCAAACAATGACTTTAAAACATGCTTCCAGGATATGGATTGAGCATTCAATTTTAACAAAGATAATCAAAAGACTAATGAAGAACCCCAAGCAAAAACCTATCATTGACTCAACAGCATTTGGCATTGGAACGCTTTCTATTTTTTTACACCAAAAAACAAAACCAATCTGGCTCGCTTAAGGCAAGAAATTCGTGGCACAATTTAGAGGGGTTAGGGTAAACATGTTCAAAGAAATTCCAGCCGTCATCTCACACCTAAACTGACAGGAATAAAATCAACTTAAGCCCGAATCAACTTTCAACATTCAATAATAAAACAGACATTTATACAAACCAATCTGATGCTATCACCAACAAGCATAGAAGAGGAGGATGAAACCTTAATGGCAAAGCAGTATGAATTCGATTTCATTTAAATCCAAGGAATATACTGATTTATGCAAAGTCGTTGCCAAAGCGATTAATGCGCACTAACATGAAAATTTTGCACTTGACAAAAGCAAAAAGAACTATCCCAGTTGGTTCTAACAGTACAAAATAGGACTCATCAATTCAGATTATCATAAGTCAAAATAACACTTCAACTGGACACTTTGAATCGAGGCAGATCTGAATCACAAGGCATTTCATCACAAAGAGTAAAAAAATAGAACACATGTAATGAAGAAGTTTCAATTGGATTCAGCACAATCTGCAGTTCTCAAAAATCCGCTTCTACTAACAATAATTTGATTATTTAATCCTAGGCTCCCGTCATGCTTTGACCAACACAATCGACTAACAAGAGTGAGAAAAACAGAGGATACCTGAAATGAAATTTTCCAATATATTTCTGTCCGGTGGAAGGAAGAATACAAGCAGAAGATTGAATGATGAATTCAACTAGAAACGAATAGAGCAACGGCAAACGATTCTGGAACCGCGAACTCGAATGACACTTCGACTCAGCTTCAAATTTCAGAAATCTCCATTTTTGAAAATCACCATTAAAATTGGAATAGAAGAAGCAGAAATGTATTTTATTTATTTATTTTTTAATTTTTTGTTTGAAATCTGAAAGAAAGAGAAAACTGGAAAGTCCGAAAATCCCCAAAGAAAGAAACCTAGTTTTTTTTAATCCTTCTCCTTACAACCGAAAATGAGCCTATTATATATAGATCCCATTTTTCTATCAAAAAACAAAAAGAGTGAAAAACGCGTGAATCAGTTAAGGAATCATGAGGTTTGACGGGTAGGTGACGTGGAAGAAGGAGAAGATGAGAGAGGGGGGACCATGGGGGACCAGCGAGAGGCACGTCGCCGGATTATCCTTTTCCGGTGACTTCGGCGGCGGGCAGAGGGGTGGTGCAGCTGGGTGAACTTTTGTAGGGCTAGGGTTTAGGTGTCTTGTAGGGTTAGGATTTAGGTGTAAAATGTTATAAAGGTGGTTTTATATGGCTTGAAGAATTAGTTATAGCCATTGGATGGAAAGTATATGAAGGGCTAGGATTAAACTAAAGAGGGAGATGGGTCAGATGGGTTATGGGGCGGGTTACGGGTTAATTGGACGGGTCAGTCCGGTTTGGGCTTGGGGCGTGGGTCAGGGGTATTGGGTTGTTAAATTTTGGACCTAGGTTTAAATTGAGCTCTGAAATTCTACTAATTTGGGCTAAGAAAAGCTGAAAATTTAATTTAGTTATGAAGTAATATAAAATACCTATATAGAAAAATATAAAATAACTCTTTATTAATTTTAATAAACTATTATATTAAAATAAAACTAAAAACCAAAGTGGAAACTATTTTTTGTATTTTTAAAAGATTATATAAAAAAAATAAGTTAAAAGAAATATATCTTTCTAAAAATACCTAATACCTGAATTAAACAGAAAAGAAGAAATTATTTTTGTATTTTTTCAATTTTTGTGCATTTAAAAATAGAATTAAAATTAATAATAAAGTGAAATCATATAGAAATAAGCTCAAGTAATATTCTAAAAATACTAGGACTATTAAGGGTAATTCTAATGCGCGGGTCAAAAATTACATGTCTACAGTTTTGGCTTTCAAGAGTATTAGTGAAAACTCAAATTCTTTACCGAAAACGTCGTGAAATATGAGATAGTTAAAAAAAACTTTATTTTCTTTTCCAAAACTCCTTTTCATTATAAATAAGATGTTTCATTTTCTTTCCAGATAGCAAGTGTGAGATACCTCTCTATGACCACATATCAATGTGTGTAGAATATCATGAATGACGGAATACCATACAACATGAGGAAAATGTATCTCTACGCATGTATATCATATATGCATGCCAATGCCAGGTATCTCAAAGATGAATCATGTGCTCGCACTCTCAAAATACTCCACCTCACTGTATCAGACCTTTCACTCATCATAATCAACCACTCGGTACTGTATATCGCCCATACGGTCCAGGGAAGATTCATCCCGGAATATATACATTACTGACTATAAGTCACCCAGTACCAAGGAAACATGCCAATCCAGCCTCATGGAGAAGATCCATCTCCATACCAAGGGAAGATCTATCCCTGAATATAATCAACCACGCTCACTGAGGGTGTGCAGACTCCGGAGAGTCTCCTTTAGCCCAAGCGCTATAGTAAGCCAATCATGGCATAAATCAATCAGGTCGTCGGCCTTAGTTAATAATCAATAAAATATGCTGCGACGTGCAGCCTGGTCCCATAACTGTCTCTCATAATCAGGCTCTCGGCTTCACTCAATCATCAATCTTTCCAGTCTCACCCACGGGCTCACAATGTCATAAAAGTTGACCCGAAACAATGATATAATGTATCCATAAATAACAATCGAGACCGAGATATTATATGAATGTATGAATGTGACTGAGTATGAAATATCAATGAAATTAAAGAGATGACAGCAAGAAACGACCGCTAGGGGTCCCAAAAATATCAGCATAAAGCATAAACGTGATGTACAACTCATTTATCTTATCACATGGTGAAAACACAGATATCAATAAAATAGGGCTACTATTCAGTTCCATGGAAATAACAAAGTCACAACTCACAGGATGCATGCCCACACGCCCGTCACCTAGCATGTGCGTCACCTCAACACCAATCACATAGCACATAATTTAGGGTTTTATACCCTCAACACTAAGTTTAGAAGAGTTACTTATCTTAAACAAGCCAATTCCGACACCGAGCAAGCCAAACGATGCTCCAAGAATCCCATCACGCGTGTTCCGACCTCTGAATGACTCGAAACTAATAAAAAATAACTCAAATACATCAAACAATGCTAAAGAAACCAATCCCAATCGAAAAGGGTCGAATCTTTAATCAAAAGCCCAAAATCGTCCAAAAATTCTAATTCGGGCCCGCACCTCGGAACCCGACAAAAACATGAAATCCATCAACCCATTCAATTACGAGTTTAACCATACTAGTTTCACTCAAATATGACTCCGAATCGGTATTCAAAACTCAAAAATTCATATTATGAAACTTTAGGCCAAAACCCCCAATTTCTTCTTTAAAATTCATCAACCAAAAGCTAAAATCGAAGATAGATTCATGAAATATAATTAATACCGAGCATAGAACACTTACCCCAATTCATATGCTGAAAAGTGTCTCGAAAAATTGCCCAATTCCGAGTTTCCCAACTCAAAATATGTTAAATACACAAAACACTCGTTTTAACACTGTTCTGCCTCGTTTCTTATGTGAAAAGATCTCGAAACTTACTTTTGATGCCTCCAATGGATTCTTTGTGAAATTCTAGTCAAGTTAGGCTCTTAAATCACTCAATTTCACCTTATATTGAAGGAGATATGTTGGTTTCAATATTTGAAAATAGTGCAGATTTTTAAATACGCAGAAGTGGCAATTTCGTAATTAATTTGAAAAATCTGGCATCCCAATTCTTAGTAAAATGACCATAAAATCCTCATACGATGTCTAAATTTGATAATTATTTTTGCTATGTCTCCGTAATTACGATACGGATCTAATGCTTTAATCAAAACAGAAATCGGAGCACATTTGTTCAATGTGATACCATTTATGCTTGAAGAAACGACGTCGAAACATAAAAAAACGAGCGCAACACAACCCAAATCTATCTGAAACTCACCTGAGCCCTCGGGACCACATTCAAACATACCAACAAGTCTGATAACATGACACGGACCTACTCGAGACCTCAAAACACACATAATAACATCGAAACGACGAATCACACCTCAATTCGAAATCATTGAACTTTGAAACTTCAACTTTCACAACCGATGCCGAAACCTATAAAATCACGTCCGATTGACCTCAAATTTTGCACATAAGTCACATTTGACATTACGGACATGCTCCAACTTCCGGAATCAGAATCCGGCCCTGATATAAAAAAGTTCACTCCCGGTCAAACTTTCCAAAATTTCAACTTTCGTCATTTCAAGCCAAATTCCACTATGGAACTCCAAATCACGATCCGGACGCGCTCCTAAGTCCAAAATTACCTAAAGGAGCCAACAGAACCATCTGAAATCTAATCCGAGGTCAAATACTAAAAAGTCCAACTTGGTCAAACCTTTAAAATTTAAAGCTTCTAGCTGAGAATCATTCTTCCAACTTGAATTCCGAATAACCTGAAAATCAAAACCGACGATCCACATAAGTCATAATACTTCATACGGAGCTACTCATGCCCTCAAACAACCGAGCGAAGTGCAAATGCTCAAAATGACCGGTCGGGTCGTTGCAGTACCACATTCTTTGTATCTGTTAGTGTTGGTATCGAAATAGTATGTATTATTCTGTCAAAGAATACACAAGTTATAGGAGAAAACAAATCAATAAAAAAGAAAATAATCCCTTGATTCTAAACAAAGAGGTATTTCCAATCTAATCTAATCCCTAAGAATCTGAAACTTTCCTAACCTAGCTGATATGATTTGATCCTATATGATCAGATAATACAAATCAACATATCTCATTTGATTTGATTTGATTACACAATCATAATCAGATATTACAAATCAACACTCTCCCTCAAGTTGGCATGTAGATATCTGACATGCCTAACTTGCTCACAAGACTTTCAAATCTTGGTTAAAATAACCCCTTAGTAAAAATATTTGTTGGTTGCTGATATGTTGGCACAGATGGCAAGCACACACTTCTTTCTTCAAGCTTCTCCTTGATGAAATGCCTATCCACTGTGGATACCCAATTTTTTCTGTATATTTTTTAATATACAAAATACTTTCAAAATAGCATATGTATGTATATATAAGTATGTCCAATTGTTTTATCAATTTTTTAAATTTTAAAGATTTTTAAACTAATTTATTCCCCTATTTTATTCATAAAAACCCAATAATATTTCCAAAATTACCATTTTTCTAATTCATTTATTGGATTTTCATATTTATGCCAAAATATAGTAAAATAATTTTTGTACATTTTTACAAATTTATTTAGTATTTTTAAAGCTAAATTGCATATAATTGCAATATTAGCCTCTTTTAGATTTAATTGCGTTTATATCTATAAAATTAAGTCCAATATTTTTAATTTGATAATTATATGTGTTAAATCATTTTAGTATTTTTAATTTATTTTCAGAATTTAATTTGCTATTTTTATAAAATAAATGGGAATAATTGGCTATTTAAAAACTAGCCCAATTACCTTTCAATTATAGCCTAATTTGAACCCAATTTTACCCCGACCCAATTCCCTTCAAATCCGACCCTTTACCCATTTAAATGACCCACCCAGACTCCCACTTAATCCCAGCTGTTGATCGTGTAGATCAGTGGCTCTCATTACTCTCTTCCTTTTTAAACCCAAACGACCCCTTCACCCTAATCCATTTCTCACAATATGTCGCCTTTGAATCCCACTCTTAAATCCTCTCTACAACAACATCAAACCCTGGCCGCCGCCACCTTAATCTACCCTAATCCATGGCTCTCCAAGACCATCTAAGACCTGTATCAGCCTCTCATAGCTTCTACGTGTTCGTTTCTGTGGTCTCATGACTAGATTCTAAAGGGTCTTGGTCCAGTCTTTGCTCGATGACTGTTCTCCGGTCGTCTCTGACCTTTCTCCGGCCAGCCATGGTCATTCAAGTCAAACCCTTGACTCTCCTGTTTAGATCGATGGCTTTCAAGGCCTTTCTCGTCACTTGGGGTTCTTCTGAAACCCTAATCTCTAAGAGCTTATCAACTTCTTTCAGGTTCACTTTAGATCTATGCTTGCTATGAGTTTTTAAATGCCTTCTCGAAGCTTCTTTATTTTGCTTTCAGAAAAAAGACTCTTCATCTTTTTCTGATTAGGGATTTCCTTCAAGTTCTTCTTTTCAAAATCTTTTCTGAGTTTAGCATGATAAAAACCCTAATTTCTTTTGGGGTTTCTGAGACTATTTGTTA